AATATAATAATATATCCCACACACTCACACACGGCTGTCTGATCCCAAACTAGGCAGAGCCTGTACTATGGTAACCAGACCGCTGATAAACATACTTATATATTTCTAAATACATACATATTATAGATAAATTACACCCAGACACAGAACAAATGACCGTGCTCATCACACAATATTTGTCCTGGGTGGGAATCGAACCCACGACCTCCGGTTTAGCAGTCAGGGTCACTAACCACTAGACCAACAGGCCCGTAGCGTCGTCGGCGTAATGTGATTATATCATAATGTAACCTAAAATTGAATCGGTAATCAGCTAGTTTTATTAATGCTTTACTATTTTACTACAAAAATACCTTTTATGATAGTTGCGAGATCGAGAGTTGATGAGGAACTGAATTTTGACCGACCTTTTATTACGAGAATTGCCCTTCTGATACTCTAGAGTAAAGAGTGCGATGCCGGCCTTTGGGTATCCGCCCGAGAATTAAGTGGGGGAGAGATAGAGGTTAGTCGTCTGGTATCCTAAGTCACTCGGTCAAATACAACGAAAGAATCGCTTAACAAGACTTTTCTGTAAAGCCGTACATGTGGCATAAGTATGGCTATAATTAAACTGGCTACCAGTCAATCTTATAGTGACAGATAGAGATGGTGAGTAGAGATAAGCCGGGAAGGTACTTGACACATGTCATTGTGTCTTGGATTTCGATGTAAATATCAATAATAACAGTCCTGCTGTCTATAAAATCGATATAACTTGTGTCCATCTTCAATAAATGACATTAAAATGTGACTGGTATAAAAGAATTAAAGAAAATAAACTACTTATTTCGAAAAAACATGATTTACTTGTCATTCGTCAATTACTTTTAAAGTAATCGGCACTCAAGTTCCAGCAAGTCGTTTCACGTTTTCAAATTATGGTTAGAAAATTTCGAACTCTATCGTACAATAATAGAGTAAAAAGGTAGTCAATCAGTAAGTTGACTACTTTTTAATTGTTTGATTTAAATGATTAAATGTGTATGAAAGAGTACTGAAGACGACCCTAGACCCGTCTGAGTACTGAAGTGTACGTCTTCAGTACTCTTAAGACGAATATGTTTTACTTGACGAAAATATCGAAAAATATGAAATTTAATAATGAAAGACCGGAAAATGGCTGAGATGATCGGCCTCTTCTATGAACGGATACGAAATATTTATAGTCAACGAATTTGGCTTTACCAAGATGTCAGTGTGACGAGTACTTAAAGTGATTTTAGTACAGTTAAAGCGGATATGATTAATGATTTCTCATGACTATTCGGCTTTGGTTAAAGTTGATAAGCTAAAATTTTTAAGTAATATTAAGTAATAATTTTTGTAATAATTTTTCTAAAATATAATTTTAGGTAAAATTTTTAAGGTCACAATCATATCTCCGACTTGAGATAAAATTTTCTAGAGTAAACAGCCCGCGCTCTACACTGTAAAGGTGCCAAATAATTTTATGGCAAATAAGACGGTGGCATCAGTTTCTTTCTGCCCATGTGATCTTCGAGTATAAAAAAGGTAAATTTTGACGTCAAGAGAAAGCAGATATGGACACATAGATCTGTGGATCAAGGTACATAATTACGGGTTCCACGTACTTCCACTCTTTCTAGTTAGGTCAGTGAGATTTACATCTATTCCATTTCCAAACCCGAAAAAAACTAAGCGGGATAAGTTTTCGACTCATGATATACTCGAAACGGAGGAGGTTGAAGGTTTATCATACATTAAATACTTGCTTTTGCTAGTTCTAAATAAAATGAATAGAATTCATTATATTTGTTTTTTTAATAAATCCGACTCAATCAAACTATGTAAATACAACACATAAAACAATCATTTCAAAAATCTCAGGCGAGATTTAAGACGCAGTGAGGGAGTCGATCCAAATCTCATGCTATTTCACCAAGGGGGAGGGGCATAGAAAACAATTGTTGCACTAGTTACAAGCAGTGTTGCCCTCTAAACAGCCCAACAATAGGGGTGGAATAAAATCACAATCTCATGTGATTGTGATTTTATTTGATTGTGATTTATAAATCATGTCGCTACACCTGTGACTGATTTACAAACGACTGCGTCTTATTTATTATTATTACGCTAGTGCAAGACTCGCGAATGGTCTAAATCTAAAAAAAAGGCCGTAATATTCGCTAAAAAGAATTTTGATTGATTTTAATGCCATTCATATTTGTCTATGACGAAATCACAATCACATGTGAAATCGCTGTGACTAAAAAAAAAATATTTCGGGAAATGAATATAATAATAATAATATTTCGGACATCTAACACACAACGCCATCTAGTTTCAAACTAAGCAGAGCTTGTACTATGAAAGCTAGATTGACTGATACAATAACCTTATACTTTTTTTTGTAAATATATACATAGAAAACACCCCAACTCCGAAACAAATAATTCAAAAGTATCAATAATTTCTATGTCTACTCAACAATATTAATTTCTTAAATGTTGTCTATGATCTGTGTGCACAATATCACATCCGTCTCTCTGACTTTATTATGAGCGTGTATTAATAAAAAATATTATAAAAATACGGCTATACGGTATACGGTCGTAATAAAAGCAGTGTTACAGTTATTCTAATGTTTTTAGTTACAAGAGAAGCAAACGGTTTAAAACAAGTTGAAATGTATTATTTTATACCTGTTATATTTATCACTCATAATGAAAGGCAGCTGAATATTATAAAGTCCGATGACTTATTCAGACTTATCAAACAAAACTTAACTCGCAACGCAATGCTTTCAAACAAAATTTTTATTAAACGAGTACTTAGGTTAAAGTCGTAGTTGGATGTATTATCAGTCGAAGTAGTTTTCTTTATTATCTTAGATGATGAGAAAAACGAACAAATTAAAATGGTGTAGTAATCTTGTTAGTCGTTGGTTAATTATAAATATAGGCTTTTCAGGGTTTCGGAAACTGGCTGTTTAGTAAGACAATGGTTTTATTCTTCTATAAATGAACCGTAAATGATTTGTGATAAGTGTTTTTACTGTATATTGGTTAGCAGGCAAATCGCATATGTACTATACAGGTTTCAAGACACTGACGACGGCTTAGAATGTCATTCAAAGTTAATCTTACATCCGCTAAGAACAGATGATAACATCTTGACAAGTTGATACGGTTCAGCTGAATATTCTTATGTCTATAGCAATTTTACCTAACCGAGATAGTTATCTGATATAGTAGAGAGAGATATAGTATAAGGAAGAATAGTACTTGTTAAAACTACCCGATATCACGTTTATTGCTCTGTGTTGAACTTCGTAATCATTTGTGACGTTTCTATACTCTACTTTGTATTAATATATCTTTCTTAGGAAATATGGCTTAATACTTGTGTCTAGTACAAACCAAACATATTGCAGTTATATTAAATACGGATAATGATATCCATATTTTGATAACACGCTTTACCTTTCACGTTTATCTAACAAAAGGCTACACAGAAATATCTGATATGAATTGTTTGTACAACAAAACTTTAATAGAAAATAACCAAGAGCAAATATTTTTACATAAATTGTGAATATTATAAATACCTAGGCCCCTACGGGCCTTAATTATTTAATTAAGTACCTACGTACTTAATTAAATAATTTACGGTTTGCAAAATATATGGCCTTTGCGCCACGACATGCGGGTTGTTCAACATATGTTTGGTTAGTGACGCAGCAAGTAACAATACGTTGTGGAGGTATGTTTAGCGAACAATATGTTATATTATGTTACTCACTCATTCTACCGAACAAGAACCTATTTAGTTTATCAATATATCAATAGTAATAGCACATTACAGCGACTCAAAAATATATTATAAGTATGTATGACCAATCGCAAGGATTAAAATTAATTAAAAAAATGTTGATAACAGCTTTGCTGTTTTCGGCTTAGTGCTCGTGGGAAAAGTTTTGAGGAATTCATGAATTTTTCTTAGGTAATCCAAAATGGCTATCTGCATTACTCAGAACTTTAATGCAATCTCCTCTCTGTTGCACTCGAATTTAGTATATCATCTACTCGTAGCATACCCTGTTAATGTGTTATGCAATAAGTCGTAGGTACAACACCATATTGCAAATGTGCATAGCATAGGTGATGTGTGGAATGAGTTCATAAACGTCCTGTCTACTAAACATCCCACATAAACTCTGTTAGGTTCATCAATCAGGCTGTTTACACAGATTTAATAGTCACAATGACGTCAGGCCTCCCTGGCTCACGTAACACTGAAACGATTAGTTATTTAAGCACAGTTTGATTGCCACGACCTCACTAGGACCTTAAACACTGACACGGTCACCATTTTCATCCATCGGGAGCATTTCATATGAATATTTAATGAACCTCCAAGTCTGTCAGAGCCTAAAACATATTTTTAAATTGGAAGCAACTTAAATAAGAAGTTTTGTTTGACAGCGAACATTTTGCCAATTTTGGTGTTAGCGTATATTATCTGTTATTAATTGTTTTTGGACAACTTACGAGTATTCGGAAAATCATTAAGGATAAGTCAATAACAAGATGCAAGATACTTAATACATGTAATACATCAGTCGACATTATTGTCGCACGCAGTGTCTTCAAATTTTTTGTAAAATAACTTTAAAATTTGGAAGATTGTTTATTTAATTGGCTAACCTAACCTTCTAAAACCTATAGTGTGGTCGTATTATTACATACATATATATGTTAAAATAGGCAAGACATACCAGTTAAGAACCATTTTCTTTTTTCTTGTTAACCGTTTTTCTTTATTTTGATTTTGTTTTGTAGTTATGGACGGGTTTTAATCATAGCAATAAAAATGGATCAAATTTCTATTTAAATTATGTGAAAATGATTACGAACATCTTTTTCTGGTCAGTATATTTATGCTGATCAGTCAAGAAAGCCCATCACCTTATAAATTCATAACTAGATGTAACGTACCCATCGAGAACCCTTGGTAGGTTGTTCAGGACCAAGAAGGGATTCCTCCGAACGTACCTGGAACAATTGACATTAATTTTTTATTTTTATGAAATTGACAAAATTATATAAAATCACATCATTGTAAAATGAATCGTGATTATTTTAGTCTATCTCAGTGATAATGATTCCCAAATCCTTTTATTATAACTTTATCTGTTGGTCCAATAGAGCGATTATTGTTTTATTACGAAATCAAACAGATAAACTGATTACTATCATGCATGCAGAACCAATTTAAATTCGCTTCAAGAACCTACGTCATTTGTGAACTTTTACTAATTAATCGTAATGTAGATAAAGTGTATATCCAAGCTACACACATGTGAAACTTAAAATCAAAATATCTTTATTTCATAAAATTGTTTGAAATCGTTTTTTATGTAAACTCTAAAGTCATAGATCAACACACACAATAGCAACAATCTCTGTTTTATCAAATATTAAACACAATAAATATAATAAAAGTTATACCTATCGAAAATCCATTACATGCCTGTGCCGATCTACAACTGCCCGTTTTCAAGGGGTTATGAGAAGAAAGGGCAAAAAAACAAACATATCCTATGGCATTTTAAGTGCGTCAGTAAATACACCGTACATATTTTAACAAACCCCGAATTTTTTAAATTGATATGATCGCTCTTTAAAAACCAATTACACCTTTAAAACTCAGATATCCATTAGGTATATATTTTTTTTATAATGTACATTTATATCCCAGTTTAATCGTTTAACTAGTCTTACTTAAGCGTAATATCATGAATTACTCTGTTTGAAATAATTTCATAAAACCAGTCTGAATCAGTCATAAGTCTGAACCACATTACTTTTAAACCAAAATTAATGTGTTTTAACGTTAGTCTGGCAATATGGTAAATAATGTATAAGCACCTGAGCTTTGCTCGGTACCTATTTGTTTTTTGGTAAAATTTCTAAAAATGTAACCTAGCTAGATAAGGTATTAGATAACAGTGGATACCATGACTATTATCTGTAACAAACCATACTGTATGTTAGCAGTAATTTCCAAGAAATAATAATTTGATTGTTTTATGGATTAGTTACTGATACCAGGGGTGTGTGCATTTACTCATCTGTCTTGACTTGTGACTCAACAAAATATTTCTGAATCGGTGACTCATAGTTCGTTTACCTGCTGTTTATTTACCGAACTTGTCGTATGTGTACGATTTTTAGGTTTGCAATTTCATTTGTTACGGATGCAGACGATTTTCTTTGTTATCAACACAGTAAGGTCGAGCCTTCTTTCGCAATAGAACAGTCAGTCCGTTTAAGGCTTTTATAATTAGCACGGAAATTGAAACATAAGAATTTATTAATAGTTTTCCCGATAAACTTATTTGTAGATGATATGTAAATGATAGGGAGCTGATGCAATATGTACCTACTACAATTTCTTTTGTTTAATCCAATTTGCGAATATATCTATTCCATTTACAGCACTTACATAACTATTCATCATGACGGTGAAATGAGGAACTCTCAGTTATTTTGTACTAAATGAATTGATTTTCACAATTTGGAGATGCATTTAAGTTACACTTCTTTGCGAACACAACAGCGATAGCAACAATTAACTCGTTTTTGGTAACACTAGGTTAAAAACTGTTTTTTTAATGTTTTATTCAAAGAGCAACATACCGTTCAAGATAAACACCTATGTAGGTAGGTACTTGAAACTTCTTAAGAAATTGTGCTCGCCACGTCCCATATTTGGTTTTATTTATATCATCAACCCACACAAATTAAATTTGAGATTTAATCTTAGGAATAAATATTCAACCTACGTTTTAAATACGTACGTGGTGGATCCACGCAATCTCTGTTAATAAATCTTACACTTATGTAGAGTTTTTCCTGAAGGTGCTGTCTCTGATTTTGAGGTTATTATACAATTCAATATTACTATTATAAAAATCAGTCATTAATTATCGCGTAAGTAACTTATCAGTATCACATTTCTTTGAAACAAATTGAATGAAACCCTTAATCGGCAATGATTTCAAAGTATGAGCAATTTAATTCAGCTTAAGAGACAATGCGTAGGCACATTGCAGCTCATAAGTGCGTTGTAAACTCAATAAGAGTCGAGACAGCTGTAGGCGGCCGGAAAAGTGGACCGTCGAGTGTTAGTCGACTTCCTACTTAAGAGTGGTCGGTGTTCGGCGGAAACGCTATTTTTGGCGCCCACTGTCGCTTCCTTCGAGGAAAGTTCACTTGTAGATTGCAATCACTTTTGATCAAGTTGGAACTATCATCCTTTTGTTTGACACTACTAGCTTGCATATTACAAGATCCATAATATTTATTGATTTCGTATAGCTGTACTGGTTTTGTCAACACAAACTAAATAAAAGATTGGCGACATTTAGACTGGTCACGCAAATAAAAATTACTAATTTTTCTAGTAAAGGAAATAACACTTTAAAGTTTTAAATGGACAATACTGTTAGTATCATTTATGTAGCTAGTATCCTTCCCACGCAACAGCAATGACACATCGATTAAAAAACCTAAACTAAAGAATGGTCATATAAAATAGGTGCCTATAACTTTGATTTGGTTTTACATAAAAATACAAACTAAAGTTAAATAATAACAGGAAGATGGTCTGTAAATGCCTGACTACATTTTTGTTCCCCTACGAATTCCAGTTAACATTCCCTTCTTGTGTCCACGCCCGTAAGGATACGCGGGGAATGCACCAAGGACGCTTCATTCATCGAGACGATACGTTTAGTTCCGAAAAAATGGACCATTTAAACATCAATGTTCGTTTGTTCCTATTTCATGATCTGTCGTACCGATTGGCATGAAATTTTGCATACACCTTGCACGGATGCAAAGAAGGATACAAAACGTAGACACACTTTAACGTGAGCCACGGGGAAAAGCTGGAAACATATACATAATTTAAGATATTGTGTGAAACATCTAAAACACAATTCATATTTAATATTCAAAGACTATTCACGTACGAGACAATAAATAAACTATTTATATTCACATGATAATCACAGCTAATTGCAAAAAGCGTGCCTAATGCAAAATGCCTTTTCTATCAATGACTAGGATGGCCAGAATCCGGTAACGTTTAATAACCAATCTACCAAAACCTGCATAACAAGGACAAAATATAAAACACCTTTGATAAAGATTTTACTCGTCTTTTATACTACTGACCCGTTTTTAAACACCTGTGAAGTCCACTGTGTCGGTTTAGCTTATGTCTTTTGATTCCTATCTCGAGTTAGCAACGACCACCATGACCTATAAAAAGGTAATCTTCAATATTTGTACCGTACTTGGCGAAATTGCAACATCCATTAAACATTACGGAGATCCGATGTGAATGCGCAGTGCGCAGTTGTGGGTTATCACTGACAGACACATATAAATGAGAACAACATTTAAAACGATTTAACTTCTTGTGATTACAACAACAAGGCTTACATTCATTTGTTTAACAAGTTTGTCCAGATGTGGGAACAGTTTTACCCTTTGACCTGCGTGATGGAAGAATTTCGTCCTTACCAACGGTGATTCTGAGTTCAATCTGACGACTCAGTGCATTTGTAGGTCACAGATATTGCACAGGGGACCTTGTGTAATAACCAGTATGTCATACGAACACGGATGCTTGCGTGTGAACAAGAGCGCGTAGTGAAAATAATTAATAAACATACATTTAGAACAGGAAAAACATTCGTTAATGTTGTTTATATCAAGGGTAAAGATTTTTACAGTACAGACAGTTTGAATGCTGCTAGTAGTACTATGTAGTACATTTTAGACTAAACCAACAATAGATGGTTGGGTTTTACTGAGAATCTCGTCAAGGCCAGTATGCAAATATTTTTGAAGTAGGTCGACTAAGTGGAGCGTCTTTACTCCATGTGAATCATAGGTTAGGTGAAACATTATCGTTCACATGATGATAACTACATATTTACGTATACAAAGTGTTTCTGTTAGTTATTTGTTATTTAAAGGCGTAATTTCTAAACTGGAATTACCATACCTACTAACATTATGCATAAAATATGCCACATGGTGAATTACAAAATGTAATCTATTAATGAAACTCGATTTGGTATAAAAAGGCTGTTACGCTGTGATTTCCTTAAATAAGTTCCTTGTTTCCCATTGGACCGTAACATGTCTGTTTCAGAAATTGATAATTAGGAATAGTTTTGTTTTCCTATATCTCTATCGGTCCGTTTAATGCAGTAGAAAAGTTGAAATATTTGAGTGTGCTAATCTTGAAGAAAGTCTTACACAAAACTTCCACTTAAAAATATTTAATTTTCCTTATAAGACAATCTACTTATATTTCTATTTAATTTCAACAGTTTATTACTCCGTTAGTATCGTTGCTTACTTATGTCGTTAGTTATTTGTTTTTTTGTACTTGGTGAACTGGTTTTTCTTGTTCTATATTTTGAATGAATCGATTATGAAACTCATTGAATGTCGACCTGATTAGATTAAAAATAGAAGTACATAAATTAAATACATTACAATTATCTGACATTAAAGTTTTGTGGTTACGCTACACAATATAGTGTTTTTGTTATCTGTCACTAGTTGCTATGTAGCTTACCAAGTTCCTTACCTTCTTGGGAAAAAATATTTTCGGTTTTCCAGTGTATGTGGAGTATGAAGCCATGTTATCGACTCTCGACACAACCATAATTCGCTGAAAAACACTTAAGCCGGAACGAGCAAACACTATCCTAAGCCTGTTAAACTTAACGCAAATTAGTTTTGCTTGTTATTTTCGAGAAATTTCGACGATCACGTGTTTACCATAAGAGTAAATCCATAGACAGTAACACTTTACTACTAAAGTAAGGTACGCATTGAGATCGGCACTAAAGTTTTTGTTGTTCGATTCGGTTTTCGTCGCAATAAACTTTTAATCCTTGGACGCGACGCGTCCACGTCACCGCCGTCGTCGTGACGGTCTGTCTCTATACTCCTACTTGCTACACTATTCAGCCGTACACTGTATAAAATAGCATTAAATTATAATCCGAAGCACTCATACAATATCGCTGTCACATCTTAATCTCCCCGCGATTGTTTACGAACAGCGTTGTACGGGCCGCCGCGCGCTTATTCTTTTCCAACTGAATTTTCGTCGCGTTCAACAGTTGCTTTTATCAATTCAGACGAAGGTTCTCCCCCCGCTTGTTTTATCGTCTCTTTCGCACCTTTATGCTTAACGTTTATGTAGAAAGTGATAGCATATACGCGTCTACACATTCATATATTTATATTACATAACCTAACCGCTTCAATAGTAAGTACGTATAGAACATAATGCACACATTATGTATAATAATAATATGTAGATGATCATAATGTTGAAATAACATAGGTACAGATCTATGTTAATTTTTGTTGTGCATTTGCATATCTAAATAAAGAAAATATAGAGCAATCAAAATTGCACACATATCAAGGTATTGAAAAAATAGTAAAGTCATCTAAACACAAAATATAGTTAAGAACTTATATGGATAGAATTTACTTTACACTGCTGGAACATTTTGCATATACGCAGACAGTCAAAAGAAAATAAAGGTGATACATAGGGAAACAGTTATACCAGAGTTATACAATAAACAAATCTACCTAACATAAACTAGATAGATTTCATGTACTCACACATTATAAATTAATACATAAAATAACTGTAAATTCGGCAATAAATGGATTCGATATTTTTAAATCCATTCGCTATTTTTTTTTCAGGCATAGTAATAAGGATTTACTTAATAAATTATATATTACCTAAAGTAAAATACTACGACCGAAAATAAGAGAAGGTATTAATCTTATTTAGTCACTAATTTTAAGGATGAGGTGAACATGATAGGTGGTACTCATTGGCGCCTGTTTGGAAATAGAAAGCAGTGACACATCAGAGGCGCGTCGTCTGGCGAGACAACTGCCGACTGGCAGTGGCGCCCGTCAACGTAGGGGGACATGATACATTACATATTACATACAATGGCGAGGCAAAAACATTAAACCATTGCATTAAAAGACTAGCTTAATCTGTGGCTACCCTTTGCGTGTTTCAATCTTATGCCAACCATGCATTATAACAATGTTAACTGAGAACTGTTTTACATATTTATTTCACTTGTCGTATTATCGTTATGATTCAAGACCAAAACTAATGACAAATTTGATAACATGATCCGGGGTAACTATAGTTTTACCCTTTAATAGATCCAAAAGGAAGCTACGTTAAGTTAGCACAAAGATTGCCGGTTCACAAATGACTCATCCCAGTATGGAATCTTAATTATTTTACAAAAAGAAATATACCATGGACTGGAAACTTGCCCTAAGATAACAGTAGTAAATGAAGTTCGCAACAATTATGATTATTTTTTGGTTATTTCTTATGTTTATGTAAATTTAGTTATTGTAGGAATAAATAAGAGATTGTGTATCATTGTACACATTCAATACAGACATAAAGCTTCTTGTTCCATTTTATGAATTTCATTCATAAAGGTTCATGCTTACAAGATAACTGGCTAGACAAAGCTGATAAAACTGACAAAGGGCTGGTCTCCAGTTGTATATACCTGACATGCTTGCCGTTGTAACAGTGATATCATTATGTACTCATAAAACAGTTATGAACGACTCTACTTGTACTTTATCTAAGGACACTAACTTTTAAACCACTTTTATCAGCAAAAGCACTAGCTTTGGTTGGGTTGGTAGCTTACATTTTACGGTCCCTGTGTGTACTCATATTGCGTATTAAAAGCGTATTTTACGAGTATGTTTAGGTATTTTCACCTACCTACATGTATATAATACCAGCATTTGCATACGGAATTTTTATACAATTCTATTAGCCCTCATTCTATGTATAAAGAGCTAGGTTTTACCGTGGGAGAACCACAAATGCACACAACCAGCTCGACCGAAGTGATACTACGGCCTCTCAGAAAAAGGTTTTAAGGTTTTTGTTGCTCTTCACCGAGTAAGGTTACCGGAGGCTCAAACCTGGGGGGATTGATGGGGGAGTTTGCTCAAAAGCGGGTAATGGACTTCCGCCTCTTGCCCTGCAGGTGTACATGAGCGAGGGTGGTCAATTACCATCAGGTGACCCGTCTGTTCGTTTGCCCTCTGTACCATAAAAACAAAAAAACAAGTAGTAAAAATATATTTTTTAATAAGAGATAAACAGAATTTATAATCATCAATAGGTTTTATTATTGTTTATAAGTTGTGTCAGTTTTAATGTATAAACGATCATTTTATTTTGCAATTTATTGTGATATCTTTAGTTTGCTTATCTCCGCATAAGCACATCGTTTGACAACGTAGAGACGGGTTTAGGCTCTTACAAGAAACTCTGTGTCATAAACAGATTTCGATGATATATTAGAAATACATATCCGTCCATTCATGTTTCTGATAAGACTTTAGTTACGATACCAACAATAGATGACGCAAATGAAACTTTAAATAGATACATTTTTTTGTTTAATTAGCTGACGTTATTGTACGCACTCCACCGCGACAGGTGAGTTGTGTGATGCCTACAATTTGGTTTGTACTGTGCTTTTACATATCAGCTAGAGACTCTACGACAGGCATATGAAATGAGGCGTTACGTTTTATTTGTTGATGTTGATGGAAAACTAAATTTATAACTATTTTAAAAAACTCTTCAAGTCTTGATCGTGAGCTATACAAATCCTTATTTTTAAGTCCTTATGATAAGTAACAAGTAAACGACTCATACGAAACCTTAAAAGTACTATAAAATAGAATTTGGTTGTAGTATAGGACAGTTACCAAAGATGGATCAGGGAGAGAGGTCATGGGGTTATCACTTCCCCCTGGGCTAGATCCAGTTTCTACGATTTAAAGCAGATAATCAAATTGGAGCTTGCCGGGAGACCCGCTTACACAAAAGTGTTCCCATTTCTGAGTTAAAAGCTGGATTTGCGTCTGATAAATACTAGTGGGTTTATCCTTTAATTTATTTTTAATAGTATTCGGTTACAGCGGCTTGGATTATTAAGAGCTTCTAACATATCCGATTTTTGCCGTGAACGTGCGCCCACTTGCCCACGTCAAATCAGCACCTACCTGAAATTTTTGTATTGCCGGTGGTCGGGGCTTACTCTCATCTCGTTTGGCATCCAGCTCTTCTTCTGATCTCGAACACCTTAGTGCGCATTGTACGCCCCTATAGTGGCCTGTCCGCCACCACTACCTTCCACTGCAACGAACTATGGCCATTTTCTACACAACGCCGTCTCAAAAATGTTTTTGGAAAAAATAGGTTTTGTCCAATTATTTTGGCAAAAATCAATAGCTTATTAAACGGATCATTATATTCCAATTTTTTTTTATTTTAATTATTATTTAATGGGTAAATTTTGTTTCTGAAGTGCAGTGAATCTAAAAATTGTTTCGAGTGAATTACTCATACAGTCATTTCAAATGTGTCGTAGAAACTTTTTATTCAGAACTAAATATATGTTATATAGTTAGTTGTAAAATATAAGATCACAATAACATTGTGTATTTTGCGTAAGCCAGCAATCTCGTTTGAAGATGCCTCTCTGTTTATGTGTTGTTGTTGATATTTAAATAGACATTCGAAGCTTAGCGCTGTTTGCCGCTGTCTTGTTATTTATCACATTCAAATACTTGATTACTCTACCTTCCAGAGAAATAATTATTTATAGCTCTTTTTTTTGTTAGACCCAAAAATACGAGACTAAGTAAATGTTCAGTTTTTGCTACTATAGTATTATTTCCGATAATATCCGCAAAATGAACACAATAAAATAATAGTTATTCGTGGCGTGTGATAATTAAAACCACGATAAAAACAACACAGTAAAATTTGCTTTAAGAACTTAAAGTGATATGTCGATGGTATCAAGTGCGGGTAAGTGATAAAAATATTTTCCATCAATAACCGCAAAAGATATAGATATATATAAGATAAACCCCGACAAGGAACTAGTAACAGGAGTTTTTAAACCATTGTTGTTTAGCCGATATTACTGGTGTTGACGAAAATTTGATAAAACGGCTATATATTATATTGCAAACGATTAACATCGTTTTATCCCGAATCGCAATAAATGCTATCAAATTCGGCCAATACGCAATGGATACTCATGGCTCAAATCTTTGTAAATAATTATAATTGGTACTACATGCCATCCTCTCTCTATAAAGTCCTCATTTATGGGGAAAGTGTTATTTGGCATTTTGTAATTTTGCTTATAGGTCAATTATCAGAAGATGCACAAGAGGGACACACGTAAGAGCCGGTTAAGGGAAAAACTACGCAGAACAACAGCACTGCGGAGAGAAGGAAAACTTGACACAAACCCCTATACCAACCCGTCTGGCCAGCATGGTTTAGTAAGCCTCCTTTCTAAGGAGAAGCTTATGTCCAGCAGTGGACTGTTAAAGGCTGTTGATGGATGTATGGCACAAGAGGCCAGGGACAAAGATTACCGACGATCCCACCTGCATGATTATAGGAAATGTTTCACGTTCAGCAACTAATGATTATGTGCTACATTCATTATTATTTAACCATTGTAGGAATGGAATTGTTTGATGAATCCAAAATAATTTTAGATCTTCCCGAAATTTAATGTTACAATAAATAATATACTATGC